CCCTTCCTTCCTTCCTTCCTTCCTTCCTTCCTTCCTTCCTTCCTCCCTTTCTTCCTTCCTTCTACCAATTCATTCACCCACCTATCTGTCCATCCATTTGTTCATTCATTCATTTGCTCAATCACTGACTCATTCATATTTTTGTTCATTTTCTCATCCATCCATCCACCCACCTTCTCCTGCTGACACAACCCCAGCAGCCCCTCCTGGGTCTTCTCCAAGTGCCACCTTCATTCCTGGGCACCTCCTGGGGGTAGGGGAGAGGTTAAACGCTCAAGTATTAGCCCTTTCTCTCCATGAAGGAAGCCTGGCTGAAAGGAGAGGAGAGTGGAGAGAAGCCCTGGGTGGGGTTAACGCATGGCCATCCCAATGCTGCATTCTATGCCAGGCCTAGCGCCATCCCCTCACTGCAGCCCCCTCGCTGCAGCCCACCCATGTCTGTCTCGCCCCCCAAAGTGCCCCACACTTTGCGTCCCCTGACCCTGAAGGCCACCTCAGTGAGGTCTGGGGACGAGGGTGTTCTTTTCATTTCACAATTTGGCTCAAAGGTCAAAGTTCAGGAGCAGATAGAACGGGGCTGTGCAGGTGGCAGGAGGGGCAGTACCAGTCTGTGCCCCCTCAGGAGAACACCTCTTTCCCCTTCACCTGCCCATGGCTGCTGGCTGCTGCCCACCGCCTGCCCGGCCCCCGCTGTCAGGGCACGGCCCGCTCCCCTCCTCCCTCCTCTTCTCCCTCCGTCTCAGCCTGTCTTTCTGTCTGTGTGCACCGGGCACAGAGCAGGCGCTAAGTAGTAACAGTACCAGCTAACGTTTACTGTGTGGTGGGCCTTGACCGAGGCACCTCTGAGGGCCTCATTTGTCTCCACGGTTTCTTGAATGAGTGAGTGAGTGACGAGTGGTTGAATAGATGAATGAGTTGCTTCGTCTTCTAGCCTGGTTCCTCTTACTTTCTCACTGTCCTTGTCTCTGTCAGTCTCTGCCTGGCTTAGTAAGTGCTCAGTAAATGACAAGCGGAAGTTTGGATGGGTGGGTGGTTGGATGGATAGGCAGGCTTGTGTGTGTCGGTCTGGCTGTGTCTCCACCCAAAGCACAGGAGGAACTGGGTGGAGGACGTTGGATAAAACAGCTGTCAGTCTGGCCTGTCCTAGGGCTCTGGCTGACCCCCCAGGGCTGGTGGGGTGGGCAGAGGACAAACCCTCCGATCACCCTGCCTTCCCCACTTCAGGAAGCAGCCGCAGAGCCCCAAGGCTCCTGCGCCCCAGCCGCCCCCCATCCTCAAAGTCTTCAACCGGCCCATCCTCTTCGACATCGTGTCCCGGGGCTCCACTGTCGACCTGGATGGGCTGCTCCCCTACTTGCTGACCCACAAGAAGCGCCTGACTGACGAGGAGTTCCGGGGTGAGCCACCAGGTGGGGGTGGCGGGCAGGCCAGCCGGAGATGGGGGAGGCACTGGGGGCTCCTTTCCCCTCAGCCTCTTCCCCGGGTCCGTGGGCTGCACTGGCTGGAATGAGCGCTGGATAGGGAGTCTGGTCCTGTGTGTCTTTCACCAATTGCTTAACCTCTCTGGGCCTCCGCTGTCTTTATTCGTTCATGATTCAGCCTTTACTCGAGGAAAGGGCAGTGCAGTAGGTCAGCAGATCCCCCTACCTGGGTGCAGATCCCCCTCCACCACTCGAGGGATGTGTGGCCTCCCTGAACCTCAGTGTCCTCGTCTGTAAACTGGGGAGTGAGAACGGCGTAGTCCTGGCCCTCAGCAGGGAGAATTGCTTCGTGCTGGCTCAGGCCGCTGGGGTTCTGGGGAGTCCTGCCCGCTGGGGTGGGGCAGGGCATCAGGTCTGGTCCGCTTGTGCTCCCAGACTCTTCCCTCCTCCATCCCCCCCCCCCGCCCCACCCAG